TTAATACAAGTATTTTAAGCTCACATTCAGTTCAGGCTCAAATTCTCACATGGAACACCCACTTTTTACCATCTAATCAATTCTGATGTATAAAATCAGGTCGTGTCTCATTTTTTCCCCTCATTGGATATCCTATTTCACTTAGCAATGCACCAAATTGGATAAAAATCAGTTGCAATAAAATGGGTTGCAAAATTTGTTTCACATTGACTTTAAGAATTAAAAGTGATGTGTTCTCAGTGTTAAATTATCTTTTTTTAATCTCCCAGTTTAATAAGCAGAGTCATGTCTAAGTGAGACATTCGTAGATATTACTGAAAAAGGGAAAAAAAATGACTACGCTGTTCTCAAAACCAGTTTGAGCATCACAATCAGCTTGACAAAGCAACATTGACTCAACCATCGGAGTGAGATTAGGGCAGGACTAAATGTTTTACTAACCAATGGAAGATGAGGGGAGTGCGTGAAAAACCTGTTCGAATACAGTTACTAAAATTTAATATTTTTTCATGATGCCAGTGGCCTATGAATTACACAAGGTAAATTCAGTAAGAATAAAAACATTAAGATTCTCAATGACAAATTCTATGCTTAAAAATCTGCATATGGCTAACTGAAGAATCTAAACAATCCATATAATTCTCTGTAATCATTTGTTGGCTGCATTTTACACCCATCAAAAATTGAACAAGCGTTACATTGACTGACTGTGCACAGTGAAGATTGGGTTGGGCATTTTTGGAGGTTACACTGTTAGAGTGTTTTGAATCTCTGACCAATCAGTGCTGCAGAAAAAACGCTGAGGACAGGGTTATTCTGTTCGTAAGACTCTAACAAATATGATAACATAGGGTTCTATTACTGAAACAACCTTTAATGTGCAAAATTTAATGTACAATAAAAAAGAAATGTAATTCTCCCTCGAGAAATATTACTTAATCAAAACAAATGTCACATCATTATTAGTCTTAAATTTCTAAATTTTAAACTAAAACTCTAACTGATTTTTGGTTTCGGATAGTTATCATGAATACTACACCGATGTTTGCATGATTGAATTTATCTGTCATCGTCACTGGACAAAAACAGTTCAGAACTCCTCATTTCAATGTTGCGTGTATTTATACGAACTCCTAATACAAATGAAAACGATATTATTGTTATAATATCACGATCATAGATTTAGAATCCTGAGCCTTTAAACTGTCGAATGACATATTGTAAGTCTATATTAATTAAGACTTTGATAGTAAAATCATTCAGTAAATGCAAACTTACAAACCTCGGAACCGTCGATGGTCTCGAGCAAGTTAATGGATTAAATGGCACTACTGATGCTAGATGGGAAAACATGATCAAACTGAATGATCATACTGGAGACCTCACCATCAGAAACATCCAAACTGAACACACTGGAGACTATGATCTGGAGATCAACAACAGCAGCGTGATCTTACACAGGAAATTCCATATTGCAGTTAGTGGTGAGTGGCTCAAACTTTTCTATCATGTATTGCTTTTTTTATGAATCTGTTGGGTTCTACAATTATCAAATTATCATATTTTTATGTTTACCCTACCATACAGAGAACAGTTTAAATGCTCAGATTCACACCTTATTTTGTATTAATGCAGACAAAAATGTATTGTTAATTGTACAGTCAACAGTGCAATCACAATTTTTCAGCATTATTATTATTAAGGTGTAAATGGCAGTTGCTAGCTTACAGGATATTTCACCTAAAACATGAAATGCCTGTCATTATTTATGCACCCTCATGTCATTCCAACTAGGTATTACTTCCCTTCTTCTGTGGAACATAAAAGAACATTTGAGCTTCTTTTTGTTTGCCAGAAGAAAGTAAGTCTTATAGGTTTAGAATGACAAGAGGTTGAGAAAATGATTACATAATTTACATTTTTGGGTGAACTATTACAAAAAATGTCAGGATATTTCAATTCGACACAATGAAGGAGTCCTTTGTGCGTCAGTCTACCCCTGGAGGATGGACAACTTTGAGTTGGATGTGTATTATCAAATCAACAATCATCAACAATGGTGACATTAGAGTACTTTGAAATGAGCACGATTTTCACTAGATTTCACTAGTGATCACTGGCAGAGATATGACCGGGTACTGCAGTCTTACGAAAAGCCTCATATAAATGTTCATGCATATATAGGCATTAGGAATCAATTAAAATGTCGATCTGCCTCTGTCAACATATGTCTTCAATAGCAGGAATCTTTGCTGATCTATTACAGAGCTCCCCCCGAGTTCACAGTGGCAGACAGCTGGTCCAGTGTTGGCAGTCATTGTTGTGATCTTAGTCGTGATCGTAATCGGAATCTGTATTGGGATCAAGATGGGTTGGTTTGAAGTATGTTGGCCATGCAAAAAGAGTAAGTAAAATGAGTGTAATTCAAGCATGAAATTGAATGTCAACCTGACACCTGAAAATGTTTGGTTAATACACTCTTAAAAATAAAGGTGCTTCACGATGCCATAGAAGAACCTTTTTGTCTAAATGGTTCCATAAAGAACCTTTAACATCTGAAGAACCTTTCTGTTTCACAAAAGGTTCTTTGTGGCGAAAGAAGGTTCTTCTGAAGAACCTTTCTGTTTCACAAAAGGTTCTTTGTGGCGAAAGAAGGTTCTTCAGATTATAAAAAGGTAAGAAAGAGATGGTTCTTTAAAGAACCTTTGACTGAATGGTTCTTTAAAGAACCTTTGACTGAATGGTTCTTTGTGGAACCAAAAATGGTTCTTCTATGGCATCGCTTGAAGAACCTTTTGAAGCACCTTTATTTTTAAGAGTGTAGGGGGAAGCTAGAGATTTCTTGACTCAGGTGGTAAATTAATGAGCAGTTTTTTTCAATTGGATTCCATCTGTTCTGACTCAGCATTAAATGCGTAAACAAACAGGTCAATGCTTCATTAGTCACAGAGCCAGAGTTTCAGAAATTAACCTATCAACAGCTTATTTCTTATATTCATCTCTGCATATTGAACTGGGATAAGTATTTTAACATCAAAACACTGCGCACATCTCCTTTGAAGTTAATTAACCATTTGAGTTCACCTGTTAGAAAATGTAAAAAAAAAAAAATATATATATATATATCTCTTACATAAAAACACCCAAAAAGGAAATGAAACATAAGATAATTGTCAGTGTTTATTTTGCAGCCTTTTTTGTAAGTTTCTTTGGGTTTGTGTAGCTGTAGCATTAACATTACATGTAGATCAGCACTATTTGCGTATCTGTCTCCTTGTAACTCTTGTGATTCTTTTCTTTGTTTTATTATAGGTGGTGAAACAAATACAGAGTGTGATACGATGCAGCAATTGAACAGAGATGACCAATAGCAGTAGTTCATAGTCAGTACACATTAATAGAGTTTGAAAATCAACCATTTTGCACTGTGAAAAGGAGTTAAGACTTTCATTTTATTGAAAGGTGGAAAGGTGCTTTAATTTATTATAAAGTTGATGCTTGTCATTCAAACTCATTCATTATCTGCAAACAGATAAGTTTTTTATTTTATTTATTTTTTTTGGTAGTTTGACAAATTTTTGTATAGAAATTTGATTCTTTTTTACTTTTTTTGGTAGTTTGACAAATATTATTATTATTTTTATGTTTACAGTGAGTTTCAAAATGACAGAGCCCCTAAAGGGACATGAAGGGAAAAAAATTAAATGAGAGGAAAAACAACGTCAATGCATTTGTGTTTTGCTTTCCTCCAAAAAACATTTTTGTGTTCCCCCAAGAATTTCTGTATTTGCTCACAAAATGTTTGTGCAAAGTTTCTCGGGGGAATGCAAAAGTTTAGTGAGGGAACGCAAAATTTTTGAGAGAGAACACAGAAGCATTTTTTCGTCCCATGCCATAGTTTTTCCACCACTAATTTTCCACTATTATATCCCTTTGGGAGCTCCATACAAAAGTACATTGAAAATATGGGATTTAAAATTATTTTAAAACATGGAAAACAAAAGCATTTGAAAAGTGTTGAAATGATCATGTTAACTCCTTTGTAGACAAAGACAGCGAGATAAAGCATCAGTAGCATCAAAGGAGGAGCATGGACATGATCATTCTCAAATAATGTATTATCAAAAATAGTGTACTGTCAGTGCATTTACTGATTTTAAAGGGTTACTCCACCCCAAAATGAAAATGTTGTCATTAATCACTTACCCCCATGTCGTACCAAACCCGTAAAAGCTTAGTTCATCTTCGGAACACAATTTAAGATATTTTGTTTGAAAACTTGGAGGCTTGTGACTGTCCCATTGACTGCTAAGTAAATTACACTGTCAAGGCCCAGAAAAGTATGAAAGACAT